GGTGCCGTCACAACACTGGCAGGTTGTTCTAAGAGTTCACAACTCTCACTCCGAAAAAATTCGTCCTCACGGTTTTCTGGACTTGTGGCTTCAACTTTGAGCTGTGACCCTTTGGGGGCAGGTCTCCACTAGTTGCAGGTATGGACACTCGACTGAAATATTATAAACTTCACTTAAGTTACCCCTTGCCCGTCTATAGTATAAGCTAGGTAGTTGCAGGTATTCTAATCTCTGGGTAACTGAGGTGCCGTCGTGCAGGCATCAGTCTAGTGGACCTCCTTTGGACATTTTCAATCAACTGAGTCTCCAGCATATCTCGGGGACCAGGAAGCACCTCGCTCTTGAAGAGCGTTGAGGGACAGACCGTTTAGATATCTGACCGACCATCTTATAAGACCGACTAGCTTCAAACCTCACTCCACTATCTCGTAGACCTCACCAACTTTTTACTTTTATCCTCTTCGCCACTGATCGGCTTGTTAGTCGCCCGGGCGATCGGTCACGTCTCTGTCACGCACTGTTGGCAAATACTGGGCATGCACCGGCTCCTGAATGTACCTGAACCCGCTCCAGTGTTGGTCAAGCCTTCTCTTGAAAGAGCTCACATTCGGTGCCGTCACAACACTCTCTGGTAGATTGTTCCAAGAGTTTACAACCCTCACTCCGAAAAAGTTTGCCCTCACGGTTTTCTGGACTTGCGGCTTCTTCAATCTTGAGCTGTGACCCCTTGTGGGACGAGCGTCCGCCAGCTCCAAGTAAGGACACTCAACTGAGTAGTGCCCCCTGAGATGCTTATACACCTCAACTAAGGTCCCCCCTTGCCCGTCTGTAGTATAAGCTAGGCATGTTCAGGCGCTCCAATGTCTCAGCGGTAGCTGAGGTGCCGAAGTGCAGGCACCAGTCTGGTGGCCCTCCTTTGAACATTTTCAACCAACTGACAGTCCCTAGCATATCTCGGGGACCAGATGGGGTGACAGTACTCCAGATGGGGAAGCACTTCACTCCTGAAGATCGTTCCGAGGGACGGACCGTCTAGATATCTGAACGACCTTCTTATAAGACCCAATAATTTATTTGCCTGATTTACCTTCTTCTCACAATGGCCCGAGAACTTCAGCTCATTGTCAACATACACACCTAGGTCCTTCTCACACACAGTCTCAACTAGTGCATTTTCTTCATCCCGTTGGGACATATGATACGCCTCCTTACCGTTGGTACGCCCCAGGTGCATCCTCTTACACTTCGTGACATTGAATCTCAGCAGCCATTTCTTCGACCATTCCTGGAGCCCACAGAGGTCCTTCTGCAGCTCTTCAAAGTCCGCTTGGTTCTTAATTTCCCGAAATAACTTGCCATCATCGGCAAACATTTGTATGGAGGAGTGTACAACGTCAGGCATGTCATTTATGAAACAAACAAACAACAGCGGGCCCAGTACACTGCCCTGTGGTACCCCACTTGTTACAGGTACAGATGACGATTTCGTGCCATTAATCACCACACACTGCTTGCGGTCATGTAGAAAGTCTTCTATCCACGCTAGGACATTTCCCCGAATTCCGTACCCTTCCAGTTTGATTTTCACCCTTTCGTGGGGTACACTGTAGAAAGCCTTGGCAAAATCTAGGTAAATATTGTCGATATTACCACCCCGTTCCAGAATATGGGTCCAAATATCCAATACCTTGAGCAATTGTGTTAAGCAGGAGCGCCCTGGCATAAAAGCGTGTTGGCAATCTTTTACAAGGTTGTTTCGTAGTAGATGTTCCATCGCGGCATCTCTGATAATACTCTCAAGTACTTTACATATTATGCTGGTCAGGCTCACCGGTCTATAGTTGTTCGTGGAGTGACTATCGCCCTTCTTGAAGATAGGACTCACATAAGCCACTTTCCATTCACTGCGGACCTTTTGTTCATCCAGGCATTTACAAAACAGAATCTTCAGGGGCTCTGCAAGCTCGTTGCACAGCTCTCTTAGCACTCTAGGATGCACCATGTCAGGTCCGGGACTCTTATGGACCTTTAGCCTGGAAACTTTACCTTACCTTATTACCTAATGGCCATCCCCATGCCGAGGACCAGTTTATTTAAATTGTAGTACATTTATCTTTGTTAGTTTAATCGGATTACCTCAATATTAGCCACCCAGCTTATTTCGCCTGATTATTAAACACCCCAACGCTACCTGGGGGTTAGGTCAGCTAAGGTTAGGTTAGGTTAACTTGTTTATTCACCAGACGAAATAAGCTGGGTGATGGTAACCCTCGATAAATGTCTAACAAATATATAAAGATGGTAAAAGGTCGACGAGATAGTGGGGTGAGGTTTGGCAAGGTTTGATTTGGTTTGGTTTGGTTACGTTAGGTTAGGGAAGGTAAGGTAAGGATAGGCAAGTTTAAGTTAGGTTTGGTTTTGTTAGGTTAGGTTGGGTTAGGCATGGTAAGATTAGGTTAGGCAAAGAAAATAAGGTTAGGCAAGGTAAGATTAGGTTAGGCAAGTAAGATTAGGTTAGGCAAGGTAGATTAGGTTAGGCAAGGTAAGATTAGGTTAGGCAAGGTAAGATTAGGTTTGGCAAGGTAAGATTAGGTTAGGCAAGGTAAGATTAGGTTAGGCAAGGTAAGAAGGTTAGGCAAAATGAATTAGGTTAGGCAAGGTAAGATTAGGTTAGGCAAGGTAAGATTAGGTTAGGCAAGGTAAAGATTAGGTTAGGCAAGGTAAGATTAGGTTTGGCAAGGTAAGATAGGTTAGGCAAGGTAAGATTAGGTTAGGCAAAAGGTGATAGGTTTGGCAAGGTAAGATTAGGTTAGGCAAGGTAAAAATTAGGTTTGGCAAGGTAAGATTAGGTTAGGCAAGGTAAGATTAGGTTTGGCAAGGTAAGATTAGGTTAGGTAAGGTAAGATTAGGTTAGGCAAGGTAAGATTAGGTTAGGCAAGGTAAGATTAGGTTTGGCAAGAAAGGTTAGGTTAGGCAAGGTAAAAAGATTGGGTTAGGCAAGGTAAGATTAGGTTAGGCAAGGTAAAGTAAGGTTAGGCAGGTAAGATTAGGTTAGGCAAGGTAAGATTAGGTTAGGCAAGGTAAGATGGGTTTGGCAAGGTAAGATTAGGTTAGGCAAGGTAAGATTAGGTTTGGCAAGGTAAGATTAGGTTAGGCAAGGTAAGATTAGGTTAGGCAAGGTAAGATTAGGTTTGGCAAGGTAAGATTAGGTTGGCAAGGTAAGATTAGGTTAGGCAAGGTAAGATTAGGTTAGGCAAGGTAAGATTAGGTTGAAGAAGATTAGGTTAGGCAAGGTAAGATTAGGTTTGGCAAGGTAAGATTAGGTTAGGCAAGGTAAAGTAAGGTTAGGTTAGGCAAGGTAAGGTATGGTTAGGTTAGGTTAGACTAGAGACATCTTTGTACAGTAGACCGCACACTATAGTAACACCGTAAAGTTAGTACAGTAGCTCCTTCCCTTGATACCGGCCAGGGAGGTGTTGCTCCACGGTGTATACTGGTCTGGAAAACTCAGGGAATTATACAAATAAACCTGAAATTTTATTAATTCAGTTCAACTTGAAGATATTGTTATTTTGACAGTAGTGTTACCATAAATTAATGATGTTCTATATAATAAGTAAATAATTAAACTTTTAGTAACAACTTCCAGTAAATATTCCACACCAGTAACTAATGATTTGTGTACCTGTCACGTTAACGATCAAACAACCAAATATTACAGGTTATAACTACAGTACTAGAGAGGTGAATTGTTCTTATAATTAAGTGACTTTACTTAAGTGGATTATTCACATATTAATCATGAGTCATAAAGGTGGATGAGGAATAATTTGTCGGATTTCCGGCTGTTTGGAAGGACCAACAGGTCGACCCGCGGGAACCACACAAACTGTGGTCAAGGTCTTGGCCGATGTTCATCACTAGGGTCGGGAAGGGTCTTTAATGTCTTTATTAATAAATCATCTTTATATTATTTACTTATTATTGAAAACCTCTGAGTTGGTTAATCTCTCGTAATAAATCCCGGATTAATGTACCTGGAATTTTTCAAATTTAGACCTGGAAAACCTGGAAAGTCAGGTTATTTTGTTTTGTGTGGCCAGTAGACGCCCTGTGGTGGGGGAGTCACAGTACAGTATCAGGTGACGGCGACATTGGCTGTCCTTGAGACATGGTCCTCATGGTCGGTGGGTGACGCTGTCCTCTCCTACAAGATGACAGCAACAGCCTCGCTCGCGTCACTCTCCTAGAACCATCCAATTGTTACTCTCTGTCTGAATAAATTCCCCAAGTTCATTCACAAGTATTTGGGTGTTTTTATTTTATTTTGTTTAATTTATTGTGTATCAGTTATTAGTATTTATTTAATATACAGTGTTAGAGGAGTGTGTATTTACGAGGAAGCAGTAGCTGTGTGTATGACAACAATTCCCCGTTATGGTCAACACAAGGCGTGTCGCGTTGGTAATTACTGAAAAATAATCGTCATTTTTAACCCTACTATCCCACTTGACTCGTTATTTTGATGCTCCAGTTTAGTTCTATGTGTTTTGCTTTGATGATTCCAGGGATGATGATGTTGTTAACGGGGAAAGGGAAGGAATGGGAAAAGGGAAGGTAATAAGGGCAGTTGGCATCGCTTGGTGGGCGTTGGGTGGCAGGGTTGTGGTGGTGGGTCGAGTGGTGGCTGGTGGAGTCAGCTCAGTTCTTGATGGCAGGCGGTGGGTAGCAGAGGTGTTGCCGCCGCGTTCACTCATAACTTCTGTGAGTTATCTTCGCATTCAGTGACTCGCATTCTTGTGTTGAAATATAATAGTTCACCGGATAATGTGAACAAAACACCCGTATATTGTGCTCGTAGTGGTATTATAAGCTGACGTGGAGTTAATTAGTGCTGGTATTAACTGCAATTATATCGAATGTCATTGTCAGACAGTCATAGTTAACTGTCAGGCCGGAACTTTGGCTTTTGGTGGCCTTTCTGTGTGAGTGAGTGAGTGGGGTAAAACGTCAGCTACAATAACTGCCTGGGGAACCTAAGATGCATTACTTAGATAAACTGATTAGCGTGAGAAACTTTAACGAGATCCCCAGGCTGCGAGAGGTTGGTGGGATAACGTCCAAATATAACTTAAAACCTCGGCTGAAACTACCGGTGTATACGTTCACTAAACCTCAACAACGTTAACGTCATCGTGTACTCACAGATTACATACGTTAGTTTAGTTCTCTGTGTTATTGTTGTGCTTTAGTTTAAGTGAAGCAGCTGCGTACATTACTAGTACCGTCAGCCACGAGAGATGTCCTCCTCTAAGAACCAGGGATACGGTTGTCACAGGACTGCCTTAATGTCACGTATCCTTGTGGTGCGGTGAGCCGAGGCTACTTGGGGCGGGCATACCTCCCCTTGTTGTGTAAATAGACCCAGACCCTCATTTAGGGTACAAAGATCCCAGCTGTGTGAATTATGTTACAGCCACAACACATCTAAGGTACAGTGGCGTGACCGTGTGGTTACCACCACAACGCACATCAGGAACAGGAGTGTGTTGTTACAGCCACAACACTAAGCTAGTACAGGTGTGATGTTACACTTAAGGAACGAATTAATTGTTTACTCTTTATTTTGTAATACAACTACAGGGGATGTATTTTAATTGAACAGTGTTAAGTATTAGTACCGCCGTTAGATGTAGCACTGGTCCCTGAACATAATACGGTACGGTACAGCGGCAGGTATGTGACATTTACACAGGAAGAGGTTGATTACCTACAGTATAATGTCACTTTCCACAGGGTAATTTTAAACCCTTCTTATGCCTTTAATGACACTATACAAACATGTAGTGAATGTGTTATCGTCAACTTTCAGTGTGACCTTTTCCCTGCTGCTGTACATAATATTACATACCAGGAGTAATTATATGACTGCAGTGTTTTGTGTGTCAGGTAACACGTATCATGGCGGGGCGGTAAAGTTTTAACTGACGGCCGTGAACTGGTTGTTGGATGTTATTCCGCAACATTCTGCTACCGAGATTGTATCAGTTTTATGAAAGTACAGAGAATCACCAATGCTTTTGACGCCATTTTTACCAACACTCAAAACTGCAGCATGTTAAAGGACTGTTAAACCCACAAGTCCAGCTGCTAATTACTTCCGGTAAACAAACTAATATACGCTATCCACCTAACTAGTGTGTACATACGAAGCGGTATCCACCTAACTAGTGTGTACATACGAGCGCTATCACCCTAACTAGTGTGTACATGCAAGCGCTATCCACCTAACTAGTGTATACATACAAGCGCTATCCACCTAACTAGTGTGTACATGCAGCGCTATCCACCCTAACTAGTGTGTACATACAGCCTATCCGCCTATCACCAACTTTACAACGCGCTATCCACCTAACTAGTGTGTACATACGAGCGCTATCCACCCTAACTAGTGTGTACATACAAGCGCTATCCACCTAACTAGTGTGTACATACAAGCTACCATACACACTACTTTACCACTTATTGTATTTATGTATAGTGATGGTACTTAACGTGGGGTGTTTAGGTGTGAGGTTAGTTGAACAGTGTGTTTAGGTGTGAGGTTGATTGAACAGTGTGTTTAGGTGTGAGGTTAGTTGAACAGTGTGTTTTTAGGTGTAAGGTTTGTTGAACAGTGTGTTTAGGTGTGAGGTTTGTTGAACAGTGTGTTTAGGACAGTGTGTTTGGTGTGAGTTTGTTGAACAGTGTGTTTTGGTGTAAGGTTTGTTGAACAGTGTGTTTAGGTGTCAGGTTAGTTGTTTGTTGAACAGTGTGTTTAGGTGTGAGGTTTGTTGAACAGTGTGTTTAGGTGTGAGGTTTGTTGAACAGTGTGTTTAGGTGTGAGGTTTGTTGAACAGTGTGTTTTAGGTGTAAGGTTTGTTGAACAGTGTGTTTAGGTGTGAGGTTAGTTGAACAGTGTGTTTTAGGTGTAAGGTTTGTTGAACAGTGTGTTTAGGTGTGAGGTTAGTTGAACAGTGTGTTTAGGTGTGAGGTTTGTTGAACAGTGTGTTTAGGTGTGAGGTTTGTTGAACAGTGTGTTTAGGTGTGGTTAGTTGAACAGTGTGTTTTAGGTGTAAGGTTTGTTGAACAGTGTGTTTAGGTGTGAGTTAGTTGAACAGTGTGTTTAGGTGTGAGGTTTGTTGAACAGTGTGTTTAGGTGTGAGGTTAGTTGAACAGTGTGTTTTAGGTGTAAGTTTGTTGAACAGTGTGTTTAGGTGTGAGGTTAGTTGAACAGTGTGTTTAGGTGTGAGTTTGTTGAACAGTGTGTTTATGTGAGGTTTGTTGAACAGTGTGTTTAGGTGTGAGGTTTGTTGAACAGTGTGTTTAGGTGAGTTAGTTGAACAGTGTGTTTAGGTGTGAGGTTTGTTGAACAGTGTGTTTTAGGTGTGAGGTTTGTTGAACAGTGTGTTTTGAGTGTGAGGTTTGTTGAACAGTGTGTTTTAGGTGTGAGGTTTGTTGAACAGTGTGTTTTAGGTGTGAGGTTTGTTGAACAGTGTGTTTAGGTGTGAGGTTTGTTGAACAGTGTGTTTAGGTGTGAGGTTAGTTGAACAGTGTGTTTAGGTGTGAGGTTAGTTGAACAGTGTGTTTGGTGTGAGTTAGTTGAACAGTGGTTTTAGGTGTAAGGTTGTTGAACAGTGTGTTTAGGTGTGAGGTTAGTTGAACAGTGTGTTTAGGTGTGAGGTTTGTTGAACAGTGTGTTTATGTGTGAGGTTTGTTGAACAGTGTGTTTATGTGTGAGGTTTGTTGAACAGTGTGTTTTAGGTGTGAGTTTGTTGAACAGTGTGTTTAGGTGTGAGGTTAGTTGAACAGTGTGTTTATGTCAGGTTAGTTGAACAGTGTGTTTATGTCAGGTTAGTTGAACAGTGTGTTTTAGGTGTGAGGTTTGTTGAACAGTGTGTTTTTAGGTGTGAGGTTTGTTGAACAGTGTGTTTTAGTGTGAGGTTTGTTGAACAGTGTGTTTAGGTGTGAGGTTAGTTGAACAGTGTGTTTGTCAGGTTAGTTGAACAGTGTGTTTATGTCAGGTTAGTTGAACAGTGTGTTTAGGTGTGAGGTTTGTTGAACAGTGTGTTTTAGGTGTGAGGTTTGTTAACAGTGTGACAGTGTGTTTAGGTGTGAGGTTAGTTGAACAGTGTGTTTTAGGTGTGAGGTTTGTTGAACAGTGTGTTTTAGGTGTGAGGTTTGTTGAACAGTGTGTTTTAGGTGTCAGGTTAGTTGAACAGTGTGTTTAGGTGTGAGGTTTGTTGAACAGTGTGTTTAGGTGTCAGGTTAGTTGAACAGTGTGTTTATGTCAAGTTAGTTGAACTGTGTGTTTATGTCAGGTTAGTTTAAATGAATGTGTTTATTTGGTTAGTTAACAGTGTGTTTAGGTGTGAGGTAGTTGAACAGTGTGTTTATGTCAGGTTAGTTTAAATGAATGTGTTTATATGTCACGTCAGGTGTTGTAGTGTTAGGTTTGGTGCCCGTGTTAAGGCTCTTGGTATGAGTTAATGTTATTTTTACTAAACATTAGATATTAGGTTAAATATCAGGTGTTAAAATGTTAATGTTTAGGTGTTGTAGTGAGATAAGTCAGCGGCGTAATGAGATAAAATAATGAAAGGTGTTATCTACAGAAACTAAACTGCCATTAACCTTTGGCAGCCATGATTACGTAATGATAATGGATAGTTAAAGGTATAATTACGCTTGAAATTCCGTCACTACTTGTTATAATTCTGTCTAATGCCGGATTATATTTTGTATATAATTAGTATATAAATAATAGCTTGTTTCTTTTATTTTATTGTTTTTGTTTTTCATTATAAACTGTTAGGATATAATGAATGAGAAATGACGTCATAATACAAATATGATGTAGTGGTTTTATAAAAGCATTGTTAAACGGGTAAGTCTTCCATTGAGGTGTGTGTGTGTAGGACTGGTTGGTGGTGTTGATGGCAGGTGGTGTTGATGGCAGGTGGCGATAAGCTAAGGTAGTGGCCCCACGATCAATAGTTTGGGGAGGAGACAGACCTCATTAAACATAATCTAATTCCATATGTATAACATCTAGGATTTAAATGGCCGCCCAAAAATGTATCCATAAATGTTAAGCTGAAAATAATCATAATACTCATATGCCTCGTGTAGTTAGATAACATTTAATTGTTTTGTCGGTCAGCCTGGCGTGTTTTGTGTGTGTTTGTTCATTAGTAATTAGTATGTATATATATTTGTGCTAGTTAGTTTGTTGTAGCCTTGGAGTACCTGTACCACACACATACACACACGCACATACACATGCACGCACATACACGCACATACACATGCACGCACATACACACAAACACAACACGTCCCCTTTAACCCCACACACCGTCCCATAACCTCACGTCATAACCCCACACGTCTCTAACCCCCACAGTCCTTACCCACACAGTCCCATACCCACACAGGTCCTTAACCCCACAGTCCCTAACCCCCACCGTCCTTAACCCCGTCTACACAGTCTTAACCCCACAGTCATTAACCCCACAGTCCTAACCCCCACACCGTCCCTTAACCCACACACCGTCTCTAACCCCCCACACACGTCCTTAACCCCACCGTCCCCTCCTTACCATCCCCCTTCCCGTCCCCTAACCCCCACGTCCCCTACCCCCACACACACGTCCTCTTAACCCCCCCAACCTCGGTCCAGGAGGTGAATGAGGTAACTATTATGATTCATTTTGAGAGGAATTAAAGCCTGAAGAATAAATGAATAATGTGGATGCTAAACTTAGGTCTTTGTGGGTGATATAAAAACAACAGGACATGAACTCAAGCCTCAACTATGCAACGTCCACCCTCCTACCCCCTTCTTCCTCCTACCCCTCCTTCCTCCTACCCCTCCGACCCCTCTCCCTTGCCCAATCTCCTTCGCCCCCACAAGGTTTGACGTCATTTGCCTGCGATGACGATGGCTGGGTGGTGATGGGCAATGCGAGGTTAAATAATCCTCGTAACTAAAAAAATGTTAAAGTACCCAATTATAATTTATACATCAGTAATTAACTTAAACTAACACACAATTAGAGAGTATATTACACTACGAATACATCTTAATTATTTACTTTCACTTAGCATCAGTTAAGAGACCAAATTAAGGTATACAAGAGTTCGATCCTCTCTCCTCTCCGTGGTGAAACTGAATCACTGGAATGAGTCCTGAGCTTATATACTGTACTGTAACGTGTCGTCTAGTGCGTGTGTGTTATCTCGTCTCATTTTAAGGGTCGATACTGCTTCGGGTTTTGGTAGGAGATAAATTTTGACCCATGTTGTAATACCATATCTTGGGGTGGGGGATTTTACTAATATTTCATGGGTTTGAATGTGTCTAATTGATAATATTTGTGAATTTTATATGATTTTGGGAGTTTATTTTTAAGTTTACATTAACCATACGCCTATTTTACGTATATCGTTAAACGGGAGATTAATTTTTACGTAATTCGTTAAGCATTCATTTTACGAACTTTGAGAATCAGGACCTACTGTAGGTGTTGTAGAACAATGTCAGTCGTATATAGTCCACTTATTGTACCTCTTGACATTTGGTGTTGGCATTTGTGTCTGTGTCTGCTTCACCTGCTCGCCTCTCAACACAATCTAAGGCAACTGTACCAGAAGTACCCAGAGCCAAGCGTAGCATAGCCTTAAACTGTACTTGGACGAGTCACTTTTATGTAGCTTAAGATAAGGTTAATTAATTGCCTAATGTAATCAATTCCTAACTAACCCAAAGTCAACCTAACCTAACCTAACCAGTTAACCTAACCTAACCTAACCTTTGGTGGGGTTCAAGTATAAACAGGTGGTGAGTGTTAAAGAGTTTATGGGTCGTGACTTATTCATGGGAGGTGACAGCGGCGGTGGACTCGTGACAGATCATTAATGTTGGCCTTTAAATGGATCACCGAAGGAATATATTTGTGTCCGAACCGTGCACCTCAGATTTGGACTCCTGCAGGCAAATGACCTGTCCTTCCCCCCGCAACGCCCACGCCCACTATCGGGGTATCCTGTATAGATATGGGCGTCAAGCTTTTACCCTTCCCTCCTCCACACCGCCTACACCTGCTGCTAGAGCGTCAGTGACCCACGCCCACTGTCAGGACATCGTGGGCGGGTGTAGGCGTCCGGCTATCATTTTACGATGGGCCTGCTGGCGGGGCTCTACGCTCCTCCACCTCAGTGACGGAGGAACATTATTGATAAGACTAATCGTGTGAGATTGTAGTTATGCTCGTCACCGTGTGTACGATGACGTGTTTAGCTGCGTGACAACATGAGGACAAATCAGTGCTTGTAATACAGACCTGAAACACCACATACAAGCTTTTCCTTATACTCATTACAGGTGTTTGTATGTATGTCATATGTACAGTAGGTTACGGTGTCAAATCGCTGTACAGGTGTAGGTTACATGTGAAGACTCGCTGTACAGGTGTAGGTCACAGGTGCAGGTTCGTCATATACAAATGTTAGACACAGGTGTTCATGGTGGCGCCTCAACCCCCTCCCCTTCCCCCTACCCCCTCCCCTATCCTCCTATCCCTCCCTCTCCCCTCACAAAGACGCAGTTTTATAGATGTGGGTCTTACGTGTGATTGGTTTAGGGGAAGTGAACGTTGGTTTTCATTGGTTTAGGGGAAGTGAACGTTGGTTTTCATTGGTTTAGGGGAAGTGAACGTTGGTTTTCATTGGTTTAGGGGAAGTGAACGTTGGTTTTCATTGGTTTAGGGGAAGTGAACGTTGGTTTCATTGGTTTAGGGGAAGTGAACGTTGGTTTTCTTTGGTTTACAAGAACACTCAAGTAAATTATATTAGATACTGCCATAACTATCAGGAACTTTGTCCACAACTCAAGAACGGAATAAATAGTAGTGGTGGTGATAGTAGTAGTAGTAGTAAGTAATAATAACAACAACAATAATAATGAGTCACGTAAAATATACCCATTATTATTTTTTTTAAAGATTTGCTGCGAAACTAACGGTTGAAGGTAATCCACTTCATCTCAGTTAATCCACTTCATCTCAGTTAATCCACTTCATCTCAGTTATCGTGGAGGTTTGTTATATGAATGTTGTTATCGCCAGAGAGATAAGACGCGTAGGGTTTTTTGGTATTGTAATGTGGATGGTTTTGAAAGTGTGTGATGTCTGGCCATGTATTCAGGTCAAATGTTAAGTATAGCATTTGCATACACACACACACATAAAATACTATATGTTAACGTAAAAAATGTATGTGTGTGTGTGTGTGTGTGTGGTCGTATTTATACAGGTAGCCTTAGTGATGGTGGTGATTATGTAAATTATACCGGAAATGTTGGTGTGAGATGGTGGTGAAGGTGGTGGTGGTAATGGTAATGGTGGTGGTGGTAATGGTAATGATGGTGGTGGTGGTGGTAATGGTGGTGGTGGTGGTGAAATTGGTGGTGGGAATGGTAATGGTGGTGGTGGTAATGGTAATGATGGTGGTGAATGGTAATGATGGTGGTGGTAATGGTAATGATTGGGTATGGTAATGGTAATGATGGTGGTGGTGGTAATTAAAATGCTAGTGAGAGATGATGGTAATGGAAATTATGGTGGGGAGTGGTGATGGTAGTGGTAATGGTGGTGGTAAAGGGTAATGGTAATTCTGCTTCTAAGTTATTCTGTACTTAACCCTGTATAATGTAGGTGTTGGCAGTGTGTGGTGTAAGCTGATGTTGTGGTGTAGAGTGAAGGCCTGGTTATGATGCAGTGTTGGCAATGGTGAAGCTGTGGTGTTGGCAGTGGTGAAGGTGTGGTGTTGAGTATAGTGAAGGTTCTGGTCATGATGCAGTCTTGGCAGTTGAAGGTGTGGTGTGGGCAGTATAGTGAAGGTCTTGGTCATGGTGCAGTGTATTGGCAGTGAAGGTGTGGTGTTGGTGGTAGGTGAAGGGTTTGGTGTTGGCAGTGGTGAAGGTGTGGTGTTGGCAGTATAGTGAAGGTCTGGTCATGATGCAGTGTTGGCTGGTGAAGGTGTGGTGTTGGAAGTATAGTGAAGGTGTGGTGTTGGAAGTATAGTGAGTCTGGTCATGATGCAGTCTTGGCAATGGTGGAAGGTGTGGTGTTGGCAGTGGTGTTGGCAGTATAGTGAAGGTCTGGTCATGATGCAGTCTTGGCAATGGTGAAGGTGTGGTGTTGGCAGTATAGTGTCGTAGTGGGATTGGTGGAAGGCGTGTGTGTGTGTGCTAGTATTAATGCACGAATTTTCTTCTAGTTTGGATACTCTTGTTTTCGTTATTTTCGTTATATACACTGGGAACCATTTTTTATTCTTGATCATCCTGGAGAAAAATACAAAACCCAAATTTTACTGATAACGGCCGCCATTATCCTATACGCTATTAGTAACCAAAATGGCGTTTATAAAGTGGGTATACAATATGGCCTCCACCATCAGCGTTCCTGATAACTTCCTGCACCACGAACTTATTTTTTTGTTTCTGAGAGCTGATAAATACAACGTCTCCCTCACCAAGGCTAGCCAGTCATACCCGACCCGGTCCGTGCGTCACTAATACGTCATCGCCACGTCATAAATCTACCGCGTCATCCTCTCTGACAACCGCCTCCTCAAAATGATTTTCCTCATGAAGTATTTGAAACGAGTCACATACCACCAAGTTTTTTACGTAACCTGTATATACTATATAAAAATTACAGGAATATTGTTGTAAAAATAAACATCTTTCGACGATGTTTTAATGTTTAATGATAAAATAAACCTGATTATCCAAGGCCATGCGACGTTGCTACAGATGAGTCAACATGTGTTGGGGAGGGGTGAGTGCCCTGTTGAACACCTGTTGCAGAGGTATGAGTGAGGAGTAGGGCTTATAGGTGGGAGGAGGAGGTAGGGACTCAAGTGAGGAGAGGGGGAGGGTGGGGCTTATGGTAGAGGAGGAGGGGGGTGGGGCATAGGTAGAGGAGGAGGAGGTAGGGCATGGGTAGGGGAGGAGGAGGGTGGGGCTTATAGGTAGAGGAGGAGGAGGGTGGGGCTTATGGGTAGGGAGGGGAGGGTGGGGCTTATAGGTGAAGGAGGAGGGTAGGGCTTTAGGTAGAGGAGGAGGAGGAGGGCTTATAGGTGAGAGGAGGTGGGGCTTATAGGTAGAGGAGGAGGAGGTGGGGCTTATAGGTAGAGGAGGGTTGGTGGTGACTTGTGGGATGGTTGAGAAATATTCGACGCACATGAAGCAGTGACTGTGTGCGTGCGCGTGTGTGTGTGTGTGTGTGCGCGTGTGTGTGTGCAGTGATCGACAAAACTATATTCAAACTAGCCTCTGTATGATGTATGTTGTGTTATATGTATGAGGTATGTGTGTGTATGGGAGTTATGTGTATGCTGTATATGTACCAGTATGTATGATGTATATTTGTGTGTGATTTTCCAACATTTTTTTAATAATCTTTCATTACCACCATTACTGCTTAATATCCAGGATGAATACTTGATATTGTAACCCTAACCTAACCTAACCTTGAACCCTAACCTAACCTTGAACCTAACTAATCTTGAACCTAACTAACCTTGAACAACAACCAACTACTAACTTTAACCCACTAACCTTAAACCAACCTCAACCTAATCTACCTAACCTGAACCTAACCTAACCTTAAACCTAAGCCTAACTTAACTTAACCTAACCTAACCAATTTTCCCTCTGTACAGGTTCGCATAGTGTGTTGAACAGACAGTGAACAAAGCCGAGAGGTTCCGAAACGTAAACTTCGTCGTGATTGAGGCAAAGTTTTCAGTTTTGACAGCCTGTGTGAATCATCGGTTGAAACTATGGTGAAAAAGTATGTGGAAAGTATTAATACCTTGGAACAAATGTAATAAAATCCTAAAAAGTGAATCATCAGTTGAAACTATGATATAAAGTGGTGGAAAAGTAGAGCGAAAAGTATTAATAACTTGGAAATAATATCAGACCTTAAAAAAAATAAGTGAAAAATATTAAAAACTTGAAAAAAATATAAAATGGTGAAAAAAAATGTGAAAAATATTACTAACTTTGAAAAAATAGCATAAAGACCCTAATAAAAAAATGGCGGTGCAGTGAGTGTATTTTTTCGTGAGGGTTCGTGAGGGTTCGTGGGTTAAGTAGCGCTGTTCGTGCCTTTAAGTATGAGGTTCTTCAGGAAGGAAGCGACCAACCCTAACAATGGTTGGCTCCAAGAAGGTGGTCAACCATAACAATAATGTCCCCATCATTGAAGACCACAAGAAACAGGTAAGAGACTGCTGACCTGACCTGACCTGACCTGACCTAACCTAACCTAACCTGTCCTGACCTAACCTGTCCTAACCTCACCTATCCTACCTTAACCTGTCCTAACCTGACCTAAAATGACTTGTCCTAATCTAACCTAACCTGTCCTAACCTCACCTGACCCAACCTCACCTTACCCAACCTCACCTTACCTAACCTCACCTTACCTAACCTCACCTCACCTTACCCAACCTCACCTTACCCAACCTCACCTTACCCAACCTCACCTTACGTAACCTCACCTAACCTAACCTAACCAATACAGTTTGTTCACCACCACAATGCCTTGATTTTAAGTACTATTTTATGACACAAGATGACAAGGAGTTGTATTAAACAGGAGGAGGAGAGGTCAAGGGGGAGGTTTGGGTGGAGCTGGGGGAGAGGGGAGGGGCGTTGAGGGGAGAGGAGGGTGTTGGGGGTGAGGAGGAGGTTGGGGTGGGAGGAGGGCGTTGGAGGAGAGGAGGAGGCGGGGTGAGAGGATGGGCGTTGGGAAGACGTTTGGGTGTAGCTGGTGGAACAAGATGGGGAGAGAGGAGGAGGAGGTGGAGGGAGTGTTGGGGGGGTAGAGGAGGAGGGATAGTTGGGGGGAGGAGGAGGAGGAGGTTGGGGGGTAGAGGAGGAGAGAGCTTGGGGGGAGAGGAGGGAGGAGGGAGCGTTGGGGGAGAGGGAGGAGGAGGAGGGAGCGTTGGGGGGGAGAGGAGGAGGAGGGAGCTGGAGGAGGGAGCGTTGGGGGAGAAGAGGAGGAGGGAGCGTTGGGGGGGGAGGAGGAGGAGCGTTGGGGGGAAGAGGAGGAGGGAGCGTTGGGGGAGAGGAGGAGGAGGAGGGAGCGTTGGGGAGAGGAGGAGGAGGAGGAGGGAGCGTTGGGGTGTAGGAGGAGGTTTTAGGAGACAGGAAGTGTAAGTAGCGGGAGCGACGGAACCTTCCACTCCCACTCACCCGCCTGAGGTGAAGTGAAGGTGCAAGGTGAGTTGGTTAGTTAGGTTCACTCTGGCTACATCACGTGTCCTGCCTCTCCCACGCCAGGTGAGAATAGTTACAATATATTCTATACCAGCTGGAAGTGTGGCGGACTTGCTGGTTCCCAGGGTTGTATATCGTGGTCATGTGCCCACGCGGTCTTGTTGCGTTTCTCACCACAATCAGTTCTCCAGTTGCTGTGTATTTTGGCCTCATTCTCCCCTACCACACGAACCTTCCACCCTCCACCTCCCTACCCCAAGAACCACCCCCTCCACCCTCCCTACCCCACGAACCACCCTCCACCTCCCTACCCCACGAACCACCATCCTCCACTCTCCCCACTCCCCACGAACCACCCTCCTCCACCCTCCCTACCCCACGAACCACCCTCCTCCACCCTCCCTCCCCACGAACCAACCCTCCTCCACCCTCCCTACCCCACGAACCACCTCCTCCACCCTCCCCACCCCACGAACCACCCTCCACCCTCCCTACCCCACGAACCACCTCCTCCACCCTCCCTACTCCCCACGAACCACCCTCCTCCACCCTCCCTACCCACGAACCACCCTCCTCCACCCTCCCTACCCCACGAACCACTCCCTCCTCCACCCTCCTCACCTACGAACCACCCTCCTCCACCCTCCCTACCCCACGAACGTACAATTTATTCCTACTGTATCGAGAATAAAATTCTTCTTTATCATAATTTAGTCGTGGAAATTCCTATCCCTTGACTGCATATGTATACCTGAATACCTTATGTGTAATTAGGTTTGGTAATACATTTTTGGGATATGTATCATGTATGCTGCGTCACAGGGCGCTCCCAACAATGGCTCGCTGCCCCGGATGTGTGCACGGAAATTCCTTGGAAAGTGAAGAACCGACCAATTATAATGTTCCTAGTGTGTGATACCTAACGAAACGTCTTCCTATTGGTGGAAAATCATTATAGTGGTTGTTGATTATTATTGTGTAGTTAAGTAATGTGGTTTATGTTGGTTTAAATTAGTTAATAATTAAACCGATTGGGTCTTTTGTGTGCGTGTGTGTGTGTGTGTGTGTGTGTGTGTGTGGACAAGGTCGTTATCGTAGACCACACTCACCTAACTATACTAGCCTAACTGGGTATAAGGATTCACAGGAACATACATACATACATACATACATACATACATACATACGTGATACTTACGGACAGACAACCAATCGCAGGAGGGGAAGAAAATTTAATTAAAAGACAGGTGTGTGGGGTGTTGAGATAGTGACAGGTGTGTGGTGTGGTGAGATAGTGACAGGTGTTGTGAGATAGTGACAGGTGTGTGGTGAGATAGTGACAGGTGGGTGAGATAGTGACATGTGTGTGGTCAGATAGTGACAGGTGTGGTGAGATAGTGACAGGTGTGTGGTGTGGTGAGATAGTGACAAATGTGTGGTGTGGTGAGATAGTGACAGGTGTGTGGTGTGGTGAGATAGTGACAGGTGTGTGGTGAGATAGTGACAGGTGTGTGTGGTGTGGTGAGATAGTGACAGGTGTGTGGTGAGATAGTGACAGGTGTGTGTGTGGTGTGGTGAGATAGTGACAGGTGTGTGGTGTGGTGAGTTGGTGACAGGTGTGTGGTGTGGTGAGATAGTGACAGGTGTGGTGTGGTGAGTTAGTGACAGGTGTGTGGTGTGGTGAGATAGTGACAGGTGTGTGTGGTGTGGTGAGATAGTGTCAGGTGTGTGGTGTGGTGAGATAGTGACAGGGTGTGTGTGTGGTGTGGTGAGATAGTGACAGGTGTGTGTGTGGTGTGGTGAGATAGTGACAGGTGTGTTTTTGGTGTGGTTAGATAGTGACAGATGTGTGGTGTGGTGAGATAGTGACAGGTGTGTGGTGTGGTGAGTTAGTGACAGGTGTGTGTGGTGTGGTGAGATAGTGACAGGTGTGTGGTGAGGTGAATTAGTGACAGGTGTGTGAGTTTTCTGAGAGGTTAATACTGTGTGTGTATAGCTGACAAGGTTTAGGTTGTATGTATGTATGTATGTATGTATGTATGTATCCTTGTGTGTATCCCCTGTCGCAACTCAATGACGTCAACGTTGTAAACAAACACCAATAAGGCAATGCCACTCCTGATTCAATACCCCAATATAGACCTTATTTACAATGCCACAATAACAAGAGAATTAATGCCCCCCTCAAAATGCCATGAATATATGCACAGGAAAAAGGCATTATCTAATTACACTGAGACCATGGTATAATTAACTACGTGCATGCTATACTAATTAGAGAACAAAAATTAACCTAATTAATCGACACCTTTGGATTAGTAGATTAGTTAAGTGGGGTATAGACCGTATTGGGTGACATCTGGTGACCTGGGTTTAATTTTACGGTAATGTTTTGGTGAAATATTAACATTATTTTAACTTGGTGAGCTATTAACATTACATTAACTTGGTATATCATAGCCCGTGATTCTGGTTTTTTGTGTGTGTGTGTGTGTGTGTGTGTGTGTGTGTGTGTGTGTGTGTGTGTGTGTGTGTGTGTGTGTGTGTTTAAGCCTTAATTGTTAAATCTGTTGTTAATTTTCCCATGGGGGTCATTAACACGGAGCATTAGTGGTGGGGTGATTATTTACAGCCGGGAGAGAGAGAGAGAGATTATTCAGCATTAACTGTATAAAATAATCTACAGTGTGACTCATAAAACCAATAACCTTCTCTAAAACTTCTACCGAGTGACACCCAAAAACCTCCACCAATCCCCAAAACACATCTCCTGACTACCTGGATCTACCGAGTGACTCATAAACATCCCCCCAAAACATCTCCACTACCTGTGATCTACCAGTGACTCATAAACATCCCCCCCAAAACACATCTCCTGCTACCTGTGATCTACCGAGTGACTCATAAACATCCCCCAAAACACCTCTCCTCTACCTGTGATCTACGAGTGACTCATAAACATCCCCCCAAAACACATCTCCTGACTACCTGTGATACCGAGTGACTCATAAACATCCCCCCAAAACACCTCTCTGACTACCTGTGATCTACCGAGTGACTCATAAACATCCCCCAAAACTCCTCTCCTGACTACCTGTGATCTACCGGTGACTCATAAACATCCCCCCAAAACTCATCTCCTGACTACCTGTGATCTACCGAGTGACTCATAAACATCCCCCAAAACACCTCTCCTGACTACCTGTGATCTACCGAGTGACTCATAAACATCCCCCAAAACTCCTCTCCTGACTACCTGTGATCTACCAGTGACTCCTAAACATCCCCCAAAACTCCTCTCCTGACTACCTGTGATCTACCGAGTGACTCATAAACATCCCCCAAAACTCCTCTCCTACTACCTGTGATCTACCGAGTGACTCATAAACATCCCCCAAACTCCTCTCCTGACTACCTGTGATCTACCGAGCAAATCTCGTGACTCATAAACATCCCCCAAAACACATCTCCTGACTACCTGTGATCTACCGAGTGACTCATAAACATCCCCCAAAACACATCTCCTGACTACCATGATCTACCGGTGACTCACTTATCCCCCCAAAACACATCCTGACTACCTGTGATCTACCGGTGACTCATAAACATCCCCCCAAAACATCTCCTGACTACCTGTGATCTACCGAGTGACTCATAAACATCCCCCAAAACTCCTCTCCTGACTACCTGCTGATCTACCGAGTGACTCATAAACATCCCCCCAAAACTCCTCTCCTGACTACCTGTGATCTACCGAGTGACTCCATAAACATCCCCCCAAAACACATCTCCTGACACCTGTGATCTACCGAGTGACTCATAAACATCCCCCCAAAACACATCTCCTGACTACCTGTGATCTACCGAGTGACTCATAAACATCCCCCCAAAACTCCTCTCCTGACTACCTGTGATCTACCAGTGACTCATAAACATCCCCCAAAACTCCTCTCCTGACTGTGATCTACCAGTGACTCATAAACATCCCCCCAAACTCC